CTCTCTTGCTCTGAACAGCTGAAGTCACAATGGCCGCTAAGAAGATTGAGCATATCCAAGTTTTGTTTTCATCATCCAGAGCACAAGGTGATACCTAGAAGCAGGTGGTGATAGGCATTGGAGTTTGAGCATGAAGATAGGTTAGTATGTGGATTAGCTATGAAGAAGAGTTGGGGCTCAATGCAGTTTGTATGATTTTATTAGAGGTAATTTTCAACCAGAAGTCCAATAACTGAGGATGTGAAATTAGAGGAGAAGCACAGGCTAAGACACTCTTGGATACCTTCCAAAAGTGTGAAGATGACTGAGTAATGTGCGGCACACACTGAAGGAGCTGTTGATACTTCCCCTTGCAGGCTGCAGCTCAACAAACAACGAAGCAGAATTTTATGGGAAAGAAATGGTGATTTCTCTCTCTGACGTTGGATAGCTGAAGTCACAACAGGCACTATGAGGAGATTTAGCATATCTTAGTTCTGTATTCATCCTCTTGAGGACAAGGTGGTACTGGGACAGGGGATAATGATAAGAATTGTAGTTTAATTAACATGAGGCGATGAGAGTTAGTTGGTACAGTATACGGGTAATTATGTGGGACAGAAGGAGTTTGTTACGTTTATTAGAGGGAACTGTAAATTGCCAGAAACCATAAATAAGAGAAGAGGAAAGTGAGTGAGGTAGGTAAATGTTTGGGTACAGAACTGTAGGAGAAATATCCATCTCTAGATTCTATCAACCATTGTATTTTCCTCTGCTTTAGTAATATGCATCAGTTCCTATCATTATTAGGTCACATGCGAAGCTAATCCAAGCAAATAATTCCAAGCAGAACCAATTCAGGCTTCAGGGCACTATATCACACGTGACAATCTATAAGGCATAACTCCGTAACGAATTCAGACAGTAATAAGACAATATCTGGAGATCAGAGCATCCAAGGAAATAAAATGCAGAAATCACCTACTGAACAATGGAGAAAAGCCTATAAATTGAATCAGCCTAAAAACTCTGCCATGAAACTGAAGCAGTAACAATTTCATGAATAAGTCAAAACTTACAGCTATCAAATGAGTCACAGAAGGCCGATAGAGAATGGCTTTCTTTGGATTTGGAGGTAAAGATGGATCGGAAATATCTGTAGCTAAGTTAATATCAATTATTCCAGACGCCCCAGAATGATCAATGGTAGCACCATTTTCATTTGGTTCAACTGGATGCTTTTGGAAGAAGAAACCAGGCTCCCATTCTAGACATTGCAGCATTCTGTAAGTGTCCAAAGTAATTTCCGCAAATTTAACCTGAAAGTAATAGTGCATGAAGTCAGGAAAACTTATGAACATTCTTCTCATTCAAGATTAAAATATATACTCTTGCGGCAGACAAAAAAAAAGTAGATAATTAATTCACCTCATGTCGGTGGTAGCTTGTCAGAACAGCATCTCGGAATTTAAGAACCCTCTTTGCATGGAAACGAGCCACAAACGGAAGGGATGACGGATGGGAATCAAACAGAGCAGAGTAACGCAAAGGTCTGACATTCATTGAGACTGTTGCTACTTTCATGAAGCAGAAAATTTCCTGTACAACTAGCCTCCATTCTTTAAAGTCAGTACCCTGGAAGCAATAGTGTAAATGCCTCAGTTATGCAAGTGAATAGCTGTATTGATGTACTTTTAAGTTTGAACACTTTTCTAGTCAAGATATATATTATGCTTTCTAACCAGAGAAAGTGAAATAAAAAAAGTCTCATTTATCGGATCAAGCAGGGATGTTAAAATCATTTCCATTCTTCAAATATTGCACATGTATCTCTGTGAATTATGAACATCATCCACATTTAAATCCAGAAAGTGCTCAAAAGAACGAGATCCGGACCAATGTTAAATACAGCAAACCATCGATGTAGTTACAATAAGTTTGTTCTTTTTCCATCGAGATTGAGTTGGTGTTCCGTGTCCAGTCAATACAAGATTGAAAAGAGTGCATAGCAGACCTCATAATGATCTCCGCGGTCAAAATAAGAAAATCTCCCAAACATCTTATATTAGCAATTTAAATTTCAAAGCCGCCCACAAGCCAGCCAAAAAGGAAAAAAGAAATTAAAAACTCTCCACTGATCGCATTTGTTGCGAGCGTGAGTAAATACGACCCTTTAATATTTAAATTATCTCTAGGACATAAAAATGCCAAATAGTGTAAGAACATCATAAATGTTTCTATACTATGTTGGGTTAGACTGCTGAGAAGAAACCAAAAGAAAGGGAAACAAATATAAATTTGCTCTTCAAATTCAACGAGAAGACAATTGAGTTTTCAAATATTATTTATAATTATGATAAAGGAAAAAAAAACCGAACAATCTATGCTCTACAAGGTCTACACAGCATTCTATCAGAAGCCAAACGAAGAAAAAAGAAGCTGGATCGTGTAAGAAAAAATATATCATTTTCACCAACAAACAAAATAAATAAATAAACAAGTCGTCAAAAAAAATTCTCTCAGCAAACTAGAAATATTTAACATAATCCAAAAAAAAAAAAAAAAACCAGTTAATTAACTGGGAAATGAGAAATTACCAGAAAAACGGCCTTGCTATCGTCCACCAGAGCCTTCAATCGTTCTGCGAGGACCTGAACTGTGTCCGTACGATTCAAAAACAATGAAACCTGCAAAAACCTGGCGTAAAACCTCAGTTCCTTGAACCTTGCTCCCAGATCCTTCCTCGAATTCTTCGATCCCTCAAAATAGCTTCGATTAAGAATCGCTTCGTAGAACACATAAGCTTCAATCAAAAACCTGGCCTCGCTGGTTCTCAAGTAATGCCCAAAGTAAAGCTGACCGATCCGGCTAGCGATCTCGCCAATTTCCCAGCGGTTAAGACCAGATTCAACGAGCTTCGTGCGGAATTCCTGCTGAAACTTCCAGAGACGCATAAAAGCCTTGAAAACCTTATGGAAATAGTGGTGGTTGTCCACACGTCCGTAAGCCGGGACGTCCTGGACCCTAGCGAACTTCCGGTTCGCGCTATCCACCAGAGCTCGGAAGGTCTTCGCTACAGAGTCGTAGTCGGTCATTCCGGAGGCCCTCAATTCCCAGACCGGCAGTCGCAATCTCCGGCTCTCATCGAACAAAACGGAACAATCGAAACCGCAAAGCTAGCTATCAGAGAAAAAGAAAGAAAGAGAGCTTCCTGAGAGAGAGAGAGAGAGAGCGCGTATGCCTATGAGCTCATACGATTCAGAGAAACAGAGAGAAGCTGTTGGACTTTTTTGCTTGGGACTCGTGTGGAGTTTGGTCTTATTGTGGCGTCATAAATCGAAACACTTTTTCTCATGCTCTGTAGAATTCGTCCACTTTTGCTACGTCGTCTGAAACTGAATTTGGATTTGAAATCCGGCAAAAAGGGGTTGCAGAGGCGGCGGAGAGGGGCCGGCAATGGCAGGAATTTGGCGGCTATGGCGGAGAAAGGAGAAGGATGAGAGAAGTGCGGAAGTGCAGTGGGGGTGGGGGAGGTGTTTTTTGTGCCTTCACATTATATTATGTCATCTCCAATCCTGGCTGTTGATTGATAGCCATGCAGGTTTTGATCCAACGGTCATTTACTGAACCGGATTTTTGGGCCTACTATTTCCCACGTCTCTCTCCATTTTCTCTAACGAGTCAACTCAGTACATGTGTCACAATTTTTTCTTTTCTTTTCTTTTTCTTCTTTCCTTTACTAAATATAATTGTAATTTCAATCTTTATGCCTCAATGAAATATCTTTTTTTCTCAAAAAAAAATTATAATAATAATCCATTTGGTATGTATTGTTTTAAAATTTGGATCTCCATACCAAAACGAGTATAGCTAGGTGGTACTTTGTATATATCTCCAATAATTGTGAATTTGAGTCCCCACCCTACATGTTATATTAAAAAAACATTTGATCTTCATTCTTATGCTAAGTTTATCAGAAAATTTGTCATTTTTTCAAATATAGAGACTAATTTAAAAATAATATTAAAGTCTAGAGGTTGAAAATGTAACTACAAAATTTGAACTTTTAACCGTTGAAAAAAATGTTAGTGATGCCAATAACTAAAATCGATTAAGATTTACACTAAATTTTCAATTTTATCTTTTACATATATATTTTCTATCGAACCTACAATAAACATGATTGTGAATTTTTCTAACCTTTCTCTGTATACAATGAAAAAAAAAACTTCGTAACTACTAAGATATATTAATGTTGGCATTTTTTTTATAATTATAACAAGCGGTGATGGATGTTAATATTTTGAAGCATTGAGTTATGTAGTGGCAAAAAATATTATTTATAGACATTGAGTTCGTTAAGTTATGTATGGAAATGAAATTAACAATATAAATATTTATAAATATTCTTTTCAGAAAAAAAATATATATTTATATTTATAAATATTGTTAATAGTCTCGAAAGAAGGGCGGAATTTCGGATAAATATTAGAAAACTAAAAAAGAAATTAGGAGTATATTTAAATCGTAAAGAATTTATTGAAAGTAAAAATATTGAGATAATATTTAATAGATGTTAGACATTCTTAGGCGAGGGAATGAATCTGAAGAATGGTTTGCACGAGCTCGTCGATGAACAAGACTGGGAAACCTAATTTTATTTATTTATCTTACATCACATATTTTTATACGGCTATTAGATTATATAATATTGGTTTTTTTTATATACAATTCATATTATTTAATTATTTAATATTCTCTATGGATCTCAGTCCAAACTCATTGAGGCAAAAAGAAAGTTTTAGATCTCATTTGGATGTTTATTATTATTTTTCTTTTAACTTTCAAGAGATTATTATTATTATTATTATTATTATTATTTTATAAGTTGAGATAAAGATGATGATTGCTCTTTATTATTAGAAGAACAAGGTGCAAGTGCTGGCTGCGTCTGAATCAGCTTACACGCACGTCGATTAATCTCACGGGACAACCACCTAGTCCTATAATTTTCAAGAGATAATTTTACTTCTTGAACTTTAAAAAGATTAATTATTTCTATATGTATCAATATTTTATCGTCAATATTGATGAATGAACATATGAGAATGAATGACATGACTTTAAGTACACATTTAACATGCTTTATCGTTCTTTAAGAAAAAAAATCGAAGTGGACATGTAGATATTGCGTGAAATGAGGTGATTTTGAGTTTTTTTAAAAGAATTATTATATTACTCCCAAACATATAATAGCTTTTAAATTTGATCAATCTTATTTTGACAGGTCCAAAAATACAATTTGAAGAGGGAGGTGTCATCTTCCTCCTACAATTTTTCTTTTCATATTTTGGGCCATGACAATCTCGCTCGAATTAAGGGGACCTACACATATTAGTACAGTATACCAGAGTTCTCTATTGCACCTGCCGTTAACTCCAGTTTATCGATTGTGGTGCCCCTAATTTTTTCCATGGTTCCTTCCTTCATTTGTACCGTCAGTACAAGATCGAAATTAAAAGAGTGTATTGGATGGATGTCCTGAAATGGTATCGCCTCATCAGGAAAAAGAATTAACGCTTGGGAAAAGAAAAAAAAAATTATAGATGAACATTTATATTGCTCATTGTATTGCAGGGAAAACGAGAGTTATAATAGAGTTGTGAATTAAGGCTTTAATTTTAAAAGTCAACGATAAGATATTACAATTCGTTTCTTGTAGTGTAAATAGAAGATATCCTAATAGATTAGCTCCATTAATGTGAACCTTTTTCTACGACTTTGGATTATTTATGCAGCTGGCACAAAGTAGACATTCCTATGGTTAGGGAGAAATTAATGGTCCCAAAGAAAACGATCTTAATTATCGAGAATTGGACATAAATTATTGGTTGAAATATGATTTCAAAATAAATTCAAATTGGGTAAGAGACAAAATTGGGGAATGTAAACAACCACCTTTTTACCTATTTTAATAGATTGATGCCTTAATCCATTGAATTATGTTTAGATAATCATAAATATTAATCATATTAAAGTTTACCATCCTTTTTAAAAGGCGAAAGGAGGATTTCTCTGAATTAAAGGAAGAGAGGTTGGATGAATAATATATTTGAGATTGTATTAGCTAGAATCAACAGTGATTATATCTAATATTTTTCCGCTAGCCATTAAAACTAATATTTTAATTTTTTTGGAATAATGGGGATATCTTAATATTTTCCTTTGTTTATCTAAAAATAAGGGTGGTAAATGGATGTCGTGTAAAAATTGGTTTTCAGATGTTATGGAGAACAAAAACGACCCGAAACGGGACAAGGAGTTGAAGTCTGAGATCATTGATTGGGGGAGACCGGCCCAAAGAACGACCTAATGCCGGGGCAAATAGCGAGGAAAGCGACTGGCGGAGAACTAATCGGGCCGAGAGGGCTCGGTCCCGACC